CCCGCCGCGCCTCTGTAGCACCACATCCTGGGGACTGAGCCTTTGACAATGGATTTTGGGGGACTATTTAAGGTGCAAAAGACATTATGTAATAGCTCAGGGCCAGAGGGTCGTCTCCTCCAAATGGTAACTCGGGACCTCAGTTCCTTCTGTCCCGTGACTTCTCTTAGGACTGGTGTGTGGAGAGATCCCCTTTTCAGCAGGCAGGTGGGAGGAGAGGTGGAAAGAAATATCTGCTTCCTGAAGATCTTGCTGCCGCCACAACTATGGCGCATGCACGCGAGATCTCCACCCCATTCCCCAGATTATGTGGAGAGGTCAGTTTACCTGGCAAAAGGTATGATCATCCTGCATTACCTGGTGGCCCAGCGTCATCACAGGGACCTTTTAAGAGAGGCAGGAGGGTCCCCGGGCAATTAGAAGCAGAGGTCTGAGTAATGCAGGACCTCGAGCCCAGGAGTGCAGATAGAACCTAGAAGATGGAAAATGCAAAGAATGTTTCTACCCTAGAGCCTTCAAAAGGAATGCTGCCCTTCCAACATATTGTAGAATTCTCCAGAAGTCTAAGGTAATACATGTGAATTATTTGAAGCCACCATGTTTGGGGCAGTTGGCTACAGAAGCCACAGGAGGCTAACTAAGACAAATCCCACATGGGAAAAAAATGCTTATCACATTCCCACACTTTCTATTGGCCATTCTGTGTCACATGACCCACCCCTCACTAAGGGAGTGTGGGAAACGTAGTCCATGGACGGTAGCCAAGTGTCAGGGTGATTCCACTTTATAGGAAGCAAGGCATGGGATTTTGGTGGACGCCAGATCTTTGACTCATGAAGGAGTCTCTGAGGGAGAAATTGGGCTGGAGAGCATGGCAGGGCTTGAGAAAACCTCCACACAGGGGAATGCATAGGGAATGTCGAGGGTGATGGAATGGTACTGTCATTCCTCCTGGGACAGAGCCCAAATTAGTCATCTCCACCTTCAGGGCATCTCGATTGATTTCAGCCTTAGCCTTTTCTTCAGCATCTTCTCCCCCGACCCGATTCTCCCAGTGCTGCCCACCCCTCCACCCACACATCCTCACATTCGGCTGATTCAGTCCCAAAACTCTGGGTGCCAAACCCTTGCCCAGATGGGAGGCTGCCTGCCAAGCGCACCCTCCCACCACTCAGCCCTCGCCAAGTCCTGCCACGGACTTCAAGCTGAGGCCTGGAGGGTGACAGGGAGGTGCAGGACAGGGATGTGCAAAGGCCCTGGGGTGGGAATGCGCCCCGCACTGGTAGAGCAGCGGGCAGCTCAGAGAAGGGCTAGATCTGGGGCCTTGTGGGTCATGGCAGGCAGTATGAGCTTGGTTAAATGCTGTGAAGAACCCTTGGACATTTGAATGAATGAGCAAAAGGATGAACAAATGAATTGCAAACAAACCCTAATGGGGTCAAGACGAAGTTGCAGCTGCCATTAGTTCCCGGGCTCTCAAATGTTCAGTTCACAGCCCCACAGCCCGTGGGGTTCAAAGCTGTCACCTCCCCAGCTGCTGCCCTCCCAGGAATGGGTCCCCAGCTGGTTCAGAGGTGCTAGAGCCGCAGAAACCTCTCACGGCTCTGTCTTGATGACGCCTAGACAGCCGCACAAAAACCAAATGCTCGTCACAATTAGTATGAAATATTAAAATGACTCACAAAATAAATTATTCACGCACCTCGTGTTCCAGATCCCAGGTGTTCGGGGGCTAATGAGATTTTTTTTTAGGTGCAGGTCTGGGAGGGGCCCATGGGAATTGGGGAGACACTGAGGTTATAGCCATCAATCATGTGCCAGGATGGATGGGGAAACCGAGGCAGAGGAGGCAGTGGTGAGAAGGGCCTGGCCGGGGCAGCTGCGGGTCCCTCCTGGGGACGGAGAGGATCGGGCAGGGGGCGGGGGCCCAGGGCTTTCAGAGTGGCAGGGACGGAGGGAGGGAGAGAGACACAGAGATGGACAGATGGATGGATGCAGAGGCTTGGACCTGTCGCCACCTTAAACTGGGCACAGTGGTGCAATCCTGTAATCTCAGCCCTCAGGAGGCTGAGGCAGGAGGATCGCTTCGAGTCTGTGCCCAGCCTGGGCAACATAGTGAGGCCCTGTCTAAAAAAAACCAACCAACCAAACAACAACCACAATTCCCAGAATTCTGACTTCAGGGAGCCGAGTTCGGTACCAGTTGGGACTTGGGGGCCAGCCCCCACCCAGGTGGTGTCACCAAGGTTCCAGGGAGGGGTGCGGCTCAGTGAAGGAACAGGACAGGGCCCCCAAGGGACGGCCCTGCTCCCTTCAGCACCGCGGACAGCGCCCTGCCTCTGTGCCCTGGGCTTGGTCACCCACCCCTTTCGCTGGCAGGTAAACTGAGGCTCCGGCTGTGAAGGCACAGGCGCCAGGTCTCAAAGCAACCAACGTGTTTATTGAGCACTTACTTCAGGGAGACTGAAAGAGTCAAAACCCTGCCTGGGTGAAGCAGACTGGTGACATGCAAGGAAACAAAGGAGAAAGAAAATCCAAAAGATAGGAGTTATAAAGAAAATAGAAGAGCTTGTAATCTCAGCACTCGGGAGGCTGAGGCAGGAGGATCGCCGTGAGGTCAAGGCCAGCCGGGGCTACACAGTGAGACTCTGTCTCAGAAAATACAGTATGGAGATTATCCACCACACTTGCCCAGCGTGTGCGCACCTGCAGCTGCCGTGACGAAGACCCTGGGGCCTCCCATCCCGGATGCTGGAAGCCCTGTTGGGACCGTGCCCGGCTCCTTGGCTTGGAAGTAGCTGTCTTCGCGTTGTCACTCTGCACAGGGGACAGCCCACCACCTCGGCTGCTTCTCATCTGTCCCTGGGCTGCCCTGCTGGCCCTGCCCGCTGTGTCCTAGCTGTCTCTCAGACACAGTTCTCCTGCCTGCCTTGGTTCCCTCCCATGATGGGGACCTCACTACCACAGAAACCAACCCATTTGGGCTTTCTGACAGTTCTGTGGGTTATTTTAAAAGATCCTTTAAGAACCGAGAAGTCCCTTGGGGCCCTGAATACCATCTCACTGCTGTTTCCTGTGTGCCTGGAAGGGGAAGGAACGATGTGAATCCTACTTTGGGTAGGATTCGGCTCTTCCCTTTCTGCCTTTTCTGAAATGTTCTGACAGAGATGTTAGCTGAGGACTCAGGTGTTAGCCTATAACTACACATAGCTGATAAATCAGCTCCTGACCACTAAAAGGTTAACTGATAAGAGAAAATCCGGCTGATAAGTGAAGTGTCTGAGATAACCGGAGTGTTAGGGAAGAATTAAAGGCCTCGCTGATAACCTCCCTCCTGGCTCCTTCCTTCCTCCCCTCCCTTCTTCTCTTCCTGCCCAAGGGTTTATTGAGCACCTACTGTGTGCCCGGCCAGCCCTGACAGCAGGAGCTGTAAGCATGGACCGGGACAATCCCTCCTTAGGGCCCTCCTCGGACCCAACCCAGACCCGAGGCCTCCTGGAGGCCCCAACAAGTTGGCCCACCGTTAAACACCCGGACAGCTGGGCGTGGTGGGGCACACCTGTCATCCCAGCTACTTGGGAGGCTGAGGCAGGAGGATTACATGTTTGAGCCCAGCCTGGGCAACTCAGTGAGACCCTGTCCCAAAATGAAGAAATAAAAAGGGCTGCGGTGTAGCTCAGTGAGAAGGCCCTGGGTTCCATCCCCAGTGCTGCCACTAAAAACAAAAGACACCAAGACGGGGATGGAGCCATTACGGTGTGACGTAGGACAGTGGACAAATGTCCCCGCGGGCTGGTGGGGAAGGTGGGGTCCCATGTGAGGCCTGATGTCACCTGCTGGCTGGCTCCTCTCCCTCCAGTGTGGGCTGCTTGTGACTTCATCTGGCCGGGTTGTCACTCAGCCCGAGTCAGCTGGGAAACCACAGGTTGCTATGGAAACCAGTACGCTTCCCCCCCCCCGGAGGTGGGAGGGAGGGCGAGCCACGGGCGCAGGGACCCGTGCAGCCGAGGCTCAGAGTGACCCAGGCGTATGAGTCCCCGCGCTGCCCCACCTCTCCCTGTCCCCAGGCCGCCGATGAGCGAGGAGCAGCCTCTCCTGAGACCCGGCTCCTCTTCTGCGCAGCCCAAGCTCTCTGTGTCTCGGCTTCCTCATGTGAAACGCGGGTGTGAGAACGCACAGCCATCGGCCTAGGCAGGCCCTGGGGATAGGGGTCTACGAGGAGACTGTCCTCTGTGCTGGTCCTAACCAGGGAGGAAAAGATTAGAGTCCCCTCGGTCCCGGGCTGCGGAGTCAGGCAGCCAGGAAATGAGAGGTTAAAGAAAATTGGGGACAAAAAAAAAACTGCAAAGAGGTGGTGGAGGTGAGAGGGAGGGCAGAGAGCTCTCCCCGTGTGGGGATGAAGGCGACGCTAGGCGTGGGACATTGGGGGAGGGGCCGTCCAGGGGCAGAGGGTGTGGCTGTGCAAAGGCCCTGGGGCAGCACAGAGCCTGGTGCACTGCCGGAGCAGCGAGGAAGTCATGTGACTGCTGCAGAGGGAATGAGGGGCAGAGAGGGAGGAGGGGAAGTGGGAAGGGGACCAAAGCAGAGGGGACTGAGCTGGTCTGGGGGTGATGAGGTCCCACAACAGAGGTGGGAAGAGTCAGAGTCTTCCCCGAGCTTCGGACATTTGGGACACACCTAGGAACAGCACATTCGTTGACCATGGTGATTGGCTCAGAGGTGGCCATGTGATCTGAGTCTCTGAACCCTGCCCAGAGAAGAGCCAAGCTGAGCAATGGAGACAGACTTCGGGTCCCACCATTTCGGATCCTGGATCCAGCTGAGCCTGATGCTGCTCCCTGGACTTTGCAGTTGTTGAAATTTATTTCTGTCTTTCTGTGGCGGGGGGAGGGGGTCTCGAACCTATTACAGTTTTTCACGAAGTCTTGCCTGATGTAGCAGGTTTTCTGCCCTCAAAATCCATGTTCTCTCTCTGCTCCAGACTTTTTTTCTTGTTCCAGGTAAACTTTCCAAGTGACACATGGCATTTCTAGGAGATGATAGACACCTTCATCGTCTGATGCTGTCATGGAAATATGCATATGTCAAACCTTTCAGAGTATACCGTCTGCATATTTATTATGCCGATTACGCCTCAATATACGCAGATAGTTTTCAAAACAGTATCAATAGCATCATTTCAGCTCCTGGATCGAGCCGTGCCTGAAGTAGATCTCTGGCATACCTTGTCCGAGCCTTTAGTGTGCAGACGTGAGTGCCCAGAGGAAGCGCCTTTCAGAACTGATTTGCACATAGGCTGGGGTTTCAGAAGCCTCTCAAGGGGCAGATTCAGAGGACCTGTGGATTTGAGTCCAGGCAATAGCGGCAGACTCCCGGGACGCGTTTGCCTCGAGGGGAGGGCTCCTGCTCCTGACCTGACCGCGCCCCCCGCTGCGAAAAAAAACGCACCCTGGCCGCTCCCCTCCCCTCGTGCTGTTTCTCCGCGTTGCCTCCCAGGCCGTACTGAACCCCCACCTCTGGTCCATTTGCTTCTTTTATTGACCTTGAAACACATCAGAGAGAAATCTCCCAGCGGGATCTCTCCTCTCCCAGCCTCCCTCGGAGCTCTGCTCCTGCGCGTCGGGCTCTGAGTGCCTTTCCCTCTCTGGCTGGGCTCGACCTTGGGGCGATCCTCCCGCCTCAGCCTCCCAAGTGAGGACAGTGGTGACAGGCAGAACCCTCCCCTCGCCCTCCGTCCGAGGAAGCGGTGCGGAGCGCACCGTGGGCTCCCAGCCTGGGGCGGCAGCGACCCCGCCCGTCTCTAGAATGAAATAAGCGAGTTTGGTTTCCACTGCGACAGGGAGCGGGCTTTCCGCCGCCCACCTCCTCCCTGGCACAGGTGCTCCGGCTCCTGTTTCCAGCAGGGGTGCAGAGCCTGTTTTTCAGTCCACTTCCCCGATTAGCCGGAAGGAAAACACTAAAGCTTGGGGCAACAGGTGTGGTGCCACCGGGAAGCCCTCCAGGATCGCCCCCGCCCGGCCTCCTGTGACCCCACCTCTCCCCACGCAGTTGGCTCCCTGGGGCAGGGGACAGGCGCCCCTGGGCCTCAGTCCCCCTGTCTGCACCAGGGCAGACCCGGCACGGTGGCGGTGCCGAGGGGGTGGGGACAGGAGCCTCTGCCAGCTGGGCCTGCCTCCTGCAGCTGCTGGGTTGCCATGGCGACCAAGCAAGCATCCCTCTCTTCCCCACTCCCAGCCCCTCACCCTCGGACCAGGCCTTCCAGGGACCAGCAGCTCCTGGCGTCATGGAAACGGTTTCCAGGCACCTGAAGCGGGCTTCCTCATTGGCCGAGCCAGGCAGCAGACAAAGGTCACTCTGGGGGTCAGTTGTAGGGGCGTGCTGCTACCGTGAGGGAGAATATCTGGGGGACAATCTTGATTTCTAACTCCTTTGCCCCAAAGGAAGCCGAAGAATTTGGGGAGCTTCCTCGGAGGCTGGGACAAGCCTGCACTAGTCTGGGGGGGGAACATCAGCTGCTCTCCCAAACCCCCAAAAGTCCTCAGCAGAAACATGTACTCTAACCAAACACACTGGGCTTTACTGTGGCTCTCAGAGAAGACCCGCCCCTTCTTCTAGAATCTTCTCCGAGGGCTGCCGGCCATCACTGAGCAGGGACTGGGACCCTGTCCTCAGGAACAGAGGGCAGCGTGGCTAAGACTGAGCCCTCAGGACTGGAAAAATAAAAATAATAGCAGTGAGCATGCGCGCCTACAATCCCAGCACTCTGGAAGGCTGAGGCAGGAGGATCCCACATTCAAACCCAACCTGGACAAATTAGTGACTTAGCCAGACCCTGTTTCAAAATAAAAAATAAAAAGGGCTGGGGATGGAGCTCAGTGTGGAGACCCCAGGTTCAATCCTGACAGAGAAATAAATGAATAACTTTTTAAAATAGTGCAGGAGTGACAGCAGCTGACACTTGTCAGTGTACGCCAAGCCCGGGCCCATCCCCAGGTATGAGTGCTTGAGGACAGAGTCCTGTGCCACAGGCAAAAGGGTGGGCATCCTGAGTCCCATCTTAGAGATGGGGAAGCCAAGGCCCAGAGAGGTCACAGTTATCCGGGATGAATGGAGTGGCAGTCAGGGACTGGAACCTGGATTGGCAGTCTCAGCCCCAGGCACCTCCAGAGGCAGCGGGGGTGGGGTTTCAGGCTCGAGATCCTCCTGCCTCAGCCTCCCAAGAGTGCTGGGATGACAAGTGTGCACCACTGTGGCTGGCTTTGGCCATTCAGGCTTAAGAAGTGAGCTTGCCGGGGAAACCCTCTTCCGGACAGTCCCGAGTTGCCGCTCCCAGTTGGACGCCACAGGCGACCGCCCCGGTGCCTGGAGATCCCAGAAGGAAGCTGGGGAGGGAGGGGTCACCGGGCGGCGCCTTGGGCCTAGTGGGAGAGCAGGGGCTGATGCCTTCCAGGACCGGGGCTCGGCCAGCGCCGATGCTGCAGGGCCACGCAGGGCCTGTTGCGTTGTTCGAAGGGCAGCAGAGAGGAAGGAGGCCGGGGTGCGGTGCTGCGCCGGTGGGGCCAGCGCGC